CCTTCCCCCTCCCAAAACACCCCCCAAAAAACCAAAAAAAAAAAAAAAAAAAAAAAAAAAAAACACACCACCTTCTCGGCGAAGCCCCCCAGACATCCACCACACAGAGTTAATCACTGCCACTTCTGTGATTCTGGGACACGCTGTTCTTACTAATGGCCGCACACACGATGTGGCACAGTACCTGATGTGTTCACAGCTCTTTTTCTTCCACCAAACTGATCTCCTTAAGGTCAGGAGCCATATTATCTACCTTGATAAGATGGGACAGAACAGATGGCAGCAAAGCGGTTCACAGCCCTGGCTGTGGAGTCGGAAGGTTGGGATTGGAATCCTGGCTCATTTGTTGGATGACCTTGGGAAGGTATTAAACTTCTCCAAGTCTTAGTTCCCTCGTCTGTAAAATGAGGATAAGAAGAGGGTCCCCTTCACGGGGAACAATGAATGAAATAAAAGCGGCACAATGTTGATGCCCCATGAATATCTGCTGTTATCATTATCTGACTCTGAGTACTTAGCACAGTGCCTCATACACAGTAGGCATCAGTTAGTAACTACTTATCGATTTTTTTTGAATAAAATAGAATCGCAATTAAAAGCCAGGATGCCAAGTTTACTTGTCTTTCAAGTATAGGACAGCTTTTTCAATACGGTAACTCATTGCCAGACTTTCAGAGGAGGAAATCGAGAGAGTACTCACTCCAACTTAGGTCAGCTAGTGCTGTTTTCAAATCAACCTGCTGCTTCCATATGACTGTGGCAGCCACTGGACCCCATCCCTCGCCCTCTTCTGCCCCCCTGTGGCCATGTAAGGCTCTGCTAACTTTTTTCTATACATTGCTTGACTGTCATCATGTTTTAAGTTTGGCTCCTTCCTTTGGAGTTATAGTGAAGAAATTTTGTTTATTAATTCATTTTAATAAAGGTGTGAAATTTTAAATAAAACTGATAATTATTAGTATAACTACCACTAGGACAGCCCAGTGGATGCAGAGATTAAAATAAGATTTCTTTAGTCAACAGGGCTAAAATTAACTTTAAAAAAGGAAGCTCTTGGCATGGATGTGGAGAAAAGGTAACCTTCGTGCACTATTGGTGGGATTGTAAATTTGTGCAGCCACTATGGAAAACAGTATGGGGGTTCCTCAAAAAATTAAAAAGAGAACTACCTTATGATCTAGCAATTCCACTTCTGGGAATGTAGCCAAAGGAAATTAAAACACTAACTCAAAAATATACCTGCACCCCATGTTCATAGCAGCATTATTCACAAGAGTCAAGACATGGAAACAACCTAAGTGTGCACTGATGGATGGATAGATAAAGAAATTGTGGTATGTGTATACAATGAACCATTTATTATTCAACCATGAAAAGAAGGAAATCCTATCGTATGTAATGACATGGATAAGCCTTGAAGGCATTATGCTAAGTAAAATAAGTTGGACGGAGAAAGACAAATACTGTACGATCTCACTTATATGTAGACTCTAATAAAACAAACAAACAAAAAACCCTGCATACAAACAAACAAACAAAACTCACCCCACCAATACTCATAGAAAAAGAGATCAAATTTGTGGTTACCATAGGGAGGAGATGAGGGAGGGGGAACTGGAGGAAGGTGGTCAAAAGGTACAAACTTCTAGTTCTGAGATAAATAATTGCTAGGGATGTAATGATGGTTGTAGTTAACAGTGCTGTGTGACATACAGGAAAGTTCTTAAGAGAGTATATCTAAGAGTTCTTTCATCACAAGGAGAAAACCTTTTTCTTCTCTTTTTACTGGATCTATATGAGATGATGGATGTTAGCTAAACCTATTGTGGTAATCATTTCACAATATGTGTAAATCAAACCATTGTGCTGTGCGCCTTAAACTTATACAGTGATGTATGTCAATTATTTCTCAAAAAACTGGGGAAAAAAGAAAAAAAAATTGAAGTTTTTAGGTAAGGAGAAAAAAAGTGCTCAGGGCATATTAAGTGCTGATCTCAAGGTAATTCGCTGTTGCTGAATCTTTTTAAGTTGGTCCAGCTATTCAAATTGCTTTATCCAAAAAAGAAAGATTTGAAATTTAAATAACTGAAAAATGACCTTTTTTAAGAGTCAGGGATGGAATGAAGTTAGGTCTAGATAATGACATTTGAGTCTCTGTTACTTAGAAAATATATCTCTTGATTTGCTACTTTCGATTCTTCTTTTTCTACTTGATTACGCTCTAGGATTTTCGCCATAAAACAAATTATACACAATTTACTTATTTTATTCACGGTCTGCCTTCTCCAGTAAGGATGGGGCAGCCATTTTTCTCTGTGTCGTTTAGTGATGTAGCCCAAATCCCTAGAACAAAGCAAGCTACTTAGTCACTTTGTGCCTCAGTTTCCTCATCTGTACAATGGGTTCAAAAATAGTACCTATGCTCTAAGGATGAGATTATGTGATTTAATCTATATAAAGGGAGGTTACATAAATGTTTGCCATCATCATCATCACCATCATCCTTCTTACTAGTGTGATTAGTGCAGGCAGGAAAAGCGGTGTGAGCAGAGACCCGGAGGTGGGGAGCAGTGTGATATGCTAGAGAACTGGATGACAGCGGCGAGATGCCCACGAGGAATAGGGACAGTCAGGGACCCTAGAACAACCTGAGATCACGTTACATATCGCATTTTTAATCGTTTATGATCTATTTCTGCCTACTGAGATGCAAGCTCCGTGAGGAACTTGTGTGGTAAACCTCTGTATCCCAAGCGTTTAGAATAGTCACTGACATAGTCAGTGCTCGATAAATATTAATTGAATGAATGATGGATTAAGGGTTTTAAACTTTGTCCTGAAGACTATGCTAAATCAATAAAGCAGGCAGGACATGAGGTTAAGGACTAGGAAGTGAGTCATCGGTTTCTTGCAATAGGGAAGGACAAAGGCTGAGGTTAGTTATTGCTTTGCAGATGAAAGTAGGAGACTTGGCATTGGGATGAGAATGAAGAGTAGCACCCAGGTGGTGGTGCCGTTTCGGGGGAACAAGAGCAGATTTAGGGAGAGGTGATGGTTTCTGCTTAAGACATGTTCAGGTTTTACGGGTCTGAAGCTCAACAGAAAGCTTAAGGCTAGAGACAGAGTCTTGGCTGTCACTGGGGTATAAGAGGCGATAAAGGTCCAGAGTCTGGATGGCAGACACAGGTGAACATCACGTGACCATGTTCCGCTAACTAGTCATGACCCTCTCTGGAGTTTGTCTCCCCAGCAAGACTGGATATTCTTTGAAGATAGGAATGTTTCCTACTGTAGCATTCAGTACAACAGTATGCAGCTCGGTGCTAGGAAAATGATCAAGGACAGACCTTGAAGAACAGAAAGGAACCTTAAAAATTATACAACACAAGAGAACCGAGGCCCCACATTGTTAGACCACCCACTCGAGCTCATTCGGCTAAAGGCTCGCAGCTCTGGCTGGAAAACCGGCTGCCAGAACCCCAGCCCAGTGCCCCTTTGAGAACGGTGAGCCAAGTGCACCCAGATGAGTGACAGAGCTTAGACTTTGGGCTTACTGGCTTTCTGAGCCTCAGTTTCATTGTTTGCGGTTAACTGGGACCACGTGACTCATGAGCATAGTGCCAGTCATAGTGCTCAATAAATGTTTATTTTCCATTAATTTCCCTCAGGAAGATAGGGATTTTAGAAAAACGTGGTAAGAATGGAGCTGCTGCTGTGACCTGAGAGCCTGAAGGGTGAGCAGCATGACCGTGGACATCAAATCGGTCGCCAGCAGTCATAAAACCACCACTTTTCTCTGGAGAGCCTGAAAGCACTCTCTGCACAGGCTGCCCCAGCCTGAAGGAGGGCGTGGGCCAGTTTCCCCTCCCTTAGTTCCTGTCACTCTTTCTTTTTTTTTTTTGGCTCCACCCTGCTGGCTCTGTGACTGCTCAGAAGGAAATATTTCCCTGTTGGCAACAGTATTTGAAGACCGGGCTCTGACGAAAAATAAGAGGAAGCGTCTGTGTTTGGAAGGTACGATGAGAAGGAGGAGGAGAGCTGTAAAGCTCGTTTTCTTTAAAGGGTTCCTTGGGCTTTGGGGATTGGAGGTGAAAAGGGGCATGGGACATAGGGGCTGGAAAGAGGGGCAGAGCTGCCTCAGGCGGCCTTTCTTCCTGAGATCTCCCAGGATCGCCGAGGTTCTGCCACACATTATTCACCTCCGTTGACACGGGGAAAACGAAACTGAAAACAGGCTCGTCCCTTGCGGTGCATCAGCTGGGATGTCTTTATTCTGTACTCTGATATTTCTCTCACGGTTTCTTTGATTCTCTTTGCCACTCTGCTCCTTTATTTAGACCGGCCTGTCTCCCAGCCATTCCGACAGGAACTGTCTCTACAAACATTTGTTTCAGAGATTTCACTGCCGGGTGACTGTGCTTATGCAGCACAATTGATTAGACCTCAGGGAGTGGAGGCTTTGAGACAGAGTGGTGAGATTGCCTAAACATGGTTGCTATGGGAATTTTGTAGCAGTTGCAGTGAAATGAATATTCAGCTAACAGTTCGGTGCTGTCTGAAGCTTGAATTGGATCTGAATTGCTCAGAATTGACTGAGGACAGTTGAACTCAACCGACACTCCCAGGTTTGCTATTCGTGTAGTATGTCTATGCACATTCATGCGGACAACAGGATTCGTTAATTTTTTTTTCCAGTAAGGGACATAATTAGCTCCACCATTTATTGAATGCCTAATATTTGCCACACCTACCAACTTTAATGCACTTTATACAGGTGACCGTGTTTATTGTTGTCCCCGTTTGAGGGAAGAGAAAATTGAGACTCCACAAGCTAAAATTACACAATTAGGAAATAACGGCCTAAAGCGAACACAGCCAGGGGCCCTCGCTTGTCTTGGCTGAGGCCAAGTCTACGCCCCATCACTACTGTCACCTCCTTCAAGTGGGAGCGGACGGTGCACACGGAAGATGGACGCAGAGCCGCTGAACACACCGAGAGTGACCAAACTTCCTGTGGTCTAAGGAACGCAAACTGACAGAGCTACATTTTTTTCTTACTCAATGAGGGTTCTGGGTTTTTTTGTTTGGTTGGTTGGTTTTTTTTAAGAGGCTACTTCTAGTCAGAGTGTGTTTATATGACCTTGAAAGAAATTTATTCGTATACGTTGAGAATCTTAAAAAAGATCATATCCTCTGACCAGTCGTTCAGTTCTTCATAAGAAATCTATAATAAGATCTCGCATAAGAAAACAGGCTAAATAAGATAAATCTGCTGCAACATTATTTAGAATTGTTTAAAAAATCTTACTTAAAAAAGTTGTTTAAAAATTATTTTTAAAAACTGCTTACCATAGGGAAACGAAACAACTACATACGATGGCATATTACACAGCCATTAAAATGTCTTAAAAGGCTTTGTATAAATGGGAAATTATTTATAGCATGGCATTGCCTGAAATGAAGAAGGATGCAAAGTTACTTATGCAGCAAGATCCCAAATATTTTTAAAATTCTATAGAAATACATTAAAATATTAACAATGTGTGTTTCTGGGCAATGGGATTATAGAGGAATAATTTTCTTATTTTTAATTTATATATACTCATAATATTCTGTAATTTAAAAGTTCTATAATAAGTAGGTGTATTTTGAAAAAGTTGCTAGTAAACTTAGTTTCTCTAATTCAAATGTTTTCTCACTATTATAAAATACTTACAAAGCACCCTTTTTGCCTCGAGGAGAAATATCAGAAGACACCAAGAGTGTTGTCCTTTCTCCTACCGCTGACGGGAAGTGAGAGAATCATCCCTGTTTACCGTGACAAGAGTTTCTTAGAGCTCCGTGTTTCTCTGATCAAGTGCCAAGAAGATAAGTTTTCATTTTCTCAAAGAAAGACAAAAAGTTGTAACCACTGGTGTTTACCATCATGGAGACCAAGAGCCACAACAACCCCCAAGAGAGACCCACACCCTCCAGCAGTGGGGAGACTTCTGGGCACGACAATCATTCGTTGATAAAAGCTGTTAAAGAAGGAGACATTAAGCTGGTCCAGCAACTACTGGATAAGGGGGCTGATGTCAATTTCCAGGACGAGGACGGGGGCTGGACACCACTGCTTAACGCGGTGGAAACTTCCGAGGAGGACATTGTGGACCTTTTGCTGCGTCATGGCGCTGACCCTTGTCTGAGGAAGAATAATGGGGCCACTCCCTTCATTGTTGCTGGGATCGTGGGAAATGTGAAACTGCTCAAACTTTTCCTTTCTAAAGGATCCGATATCAATGAGTATGACCATAATGGCTTTACAGCTTTCATGGAAGCCGCTTGCTATGGTAAGGTTGAAGCTTTAAGATTCCTGTATGAGAATGGAGCAAAGGTAAATTTGGGTCGAGAGACAAAGGAGGATCAAAGGAAGATTAGGAAAGGAGGGGCCACAGCTCTCATGGATGCGGCTAAAAATGGACATGTAGAGGTCTTGAAGATCCTCCTCGATGAGATGGGGGCAGATGTCAAAGCCTGTGACAACATGGGCAGAAATGCTTTGATCCATGCTTTTCAGAACTCCATTAAGGAGACAATGGAGGCCATCGTTCGCCTTCTGCTAGACCACGGGGTTGATGTCAATGTGAGGGGAGAGAAAGGGAAGACACCCCTGATTCTGGCAGTGGAAAAGAGGAATTCTGATCTGGTAAAGATGCTTCTAGAACAAGAACATATAGAAGTTAATGAAACAGACAGAGAGGGCAAAACGGCATTGCTGTTGGCTGTTGAACTCAGACTGAAGGAAATTGTCCAGCTGCTGTGTGAACACGGAGCCAGCACCGATTGTGGGGATCTTGTTATGATGGCCAGGCGCACTTATGACAATTGCCTCGTAAAGCTCCTTCTCAAGTATGGAGCCAAAGAAGGTTTTCACCCTCCTACTGAAGACTGGAAACCTCAGAGTTCACGCTGGGGGCCGGCCCTGAAACAGCTCCACAGGATATACCGCTCTATGATTGGCAAACTCAAGATCTTTATTGATGAAGGATATAAAGTTGCTGACACTTCAGAAGGGGGCATCTACCTGGGGTTCTATGAAAAGCAAGAAGTAGCAGTGAAGCGATTCTGGGAGGACAGCACACGTGGACAACAGGAAGTCTCCTGTCTGCAGAGCATCCGGGCGAACAGTGACTTGGTGACATTCTACGGGAGCGAGAGCTACAGGGGCTGTCTGTATGTGTGCATCTCCCTCTGTGAGCAGACCCTGGAGAAGCACTTGGCTGAGCACAGAGGGGAGGCCGTAGAAAATGAGGAAGATGTGTTTGCTCGAAACATCCTCTTATCTATATTTAAGGCTGTTGAAGAGCTACACCTGCTCTGTGGATTCACTCACCAGGACTTGCAGCCACAGAACATCTTAATAGGTGAGTCCCAATAGTCTCTAAGAAATCGTGGGGTCTTTATTTACAAAAGGCAGTAATTTTCATTGCAGATAATAAAGGACTAGAGTAAACACGAATTATTCAGTTTGAGGATTAATGCGACAAATTCATAACCACAAAGCAATCTCTCCTGCTACCCTTATCCCACATGGAGGTTGCGGATGCTAATGGAATACCAGCTAACCTCACGTTGACCTTGGCAAATACAAATATGAAAGTATGTCTTGCATAGAGCCAGTTCCAGAAGTTTGGATTCCTAGAGTAGTCTTCAACTGGAGAACCCTGAAGGGGTGTCCCTTCAGACAAAGTGGCGGTTACTGTGAAACTTAATGGCAAAACTGAGGTGAAAATTGGGAATGCCAGGACAAGATGTGACACAGTGCAACAGACTCCACGCAGGCAGAACAAGTCAGCATCTCCCCGTCCAAATGAAAAACAAAATACACGAAAGCCATACGAAAAGGAACAAGCAGAGCTAAGTGTCACGTCTCGGGAGGCAATGTGGTGCTGTAGAAAGTACATTGGCTTTAGCCATTTTTAGGGAGATTTGAGGCCTAGCCCTGCTACTTTGTAGCTTTGTAACCTTGTAACCTCAGTCAAGTCACTTGATTCTGTGAGCCTTCGTTTCCTCATGTGAGCCTGATAAGACCTCCTCCGTGTGGTTGTTACTGGTTGTTACGAGATCTAAGTGCAGCGTGTTAAATAAACAAGTGACCTATACTTACAGATGAGTACAAAGGTCAGGTACTTGTCTAGAGGGCTAAGCAGAAGCAGATACCTAACCTACAGATATGCATTGAGATTTAAGCTCAGAGTAAGGGAACAGGGCAGGAGGAGGGTTCAGGGATGGAGAGGCAGAGAACACTATTTAGGGTACACATAGGAATACAATGGCAATCTGGGTTTTAATTTGAGGACAGGTGCTAGTGACTCTCCTTCTTGGTTTTAAGCAACATTGCGGGAAGACTGATAAGGGCCAGAAATATGTGCAGGTCTAACAAGTGAGTCAGGATCTTCGAGATCACCCAAGGGTGGGGTCCTTCCCAGTTCTAACCACTGATTTTGACGCGAAAGGGTCATATATCATGTCCTAAAGAAAAGTAACTTGCGACTACCTATTCTTTGGCTTTTTTAGACTGCCTCTTCCATTCTTAAACTTGAATAATGAAGAGTTGATTATATTTCCGCCTCAAGATGAACCTAACATATACTGCAGACTATTCCTTGTATTAAACCCCCAAAATGATAGGAAAAGATTTTTAAATGAATTCACAGCCAAGATCAAAAGAAAAAAAGATTCTGCAGAACAAAATCTTTGAAGAATCATAGATTAAACATGGACAGGATGGGATTAGGAAGATCACGGGAGCCCAGAACAAATTCAGGAAGCCACAGCTAAATATTATTCAAAAAAGTGGCAAGAGTGCAAAGCAGCACCGCTCGAGGGTAATGGAAGCCAGAAGCAGGAGAGGACAAAGGACCAGCTAACAGGCAGATTAATGCATTAGTCGAAACTGAGATGATCAAACCCTGTTCACCTCCTCCTCCCCAGGGACCGAGAATCTATGACAGGCCTATCTGTCTGGAGAAAGGGGTACTACTTGAGGCTCTGGGTGGTTGGTGTTCTCAGGAGAAACAAAGGGCAGTTAAACTCACAAGATTTCTGCCGAAGCACCCTGCTAAGTGGCATGTCCTGCTTACCGAGTTTTACTGAATAAAATGCAAAGCAGGAGCTCTGACAACTCCCTCTGCCCCCCTCCTCTGTTGGGTGGCATTAACAGAAGCAGCTCACAGGGCATCAGGGATTCTTAGCTGCAGAGTAGGGCTTACAGTACAAAAATCACTTAAGATATTTAAGGAGTGCCAACACCATGGAAGAGATGCATGAAACAGAAGGATTTACACCCGAAGAAATATAGCTAACCGAGCATGATCGTCTCCTATGGCTGCTGAAACAAAAGATCCCAAACTTGGTGAATTAAAGCAACAGACGTTTATTCTCCCACAGTTCTGGAGGCCGGAAGTATGAAATCAGTTCCTCTGGCCCCACATTGGGTGTCAGCAGGGCCAGATTCCCTGGGGCACCCATTGGGGAGACTGCTCCTTTCCTCTTCCAGCTTCTGGTGGCTGCTAGCATTCCTTGGCTTGTGGAACTCTAATCTCTGCCTCTGCAGTCATATTGTTTTCTCTTCTGTTCTCAGATCTCCTTCTGCCTCCCTTGTATAAAGATATATGTGATTGCATTTAGGACACATCCCAATAACCCACCTTGATCTCTCCCATCTCGAGATTCTTAATCATGTCTGCAAAATCCCTTTCGCGTCTCTAAAGTAATATTCACAGATTTCAGGATTAGGACAAGGGTATTTATCTAGTCTGTCATACTGAGTAATGACAACGCAGCTCTAAAATAAATATAATTAATAAAACCAGAGAACAAAGATAAGTTATTTCATCCAAGAAGCAAGGATAAGCATTGTGTCAAGAACCAAAGAGAATTTCGAAAATAAAAAATTTAAAATCTCAACACCGGATTGAAGATTATATTAACAAACAAGAAGATTTGCCTGAGAAGATCTCCTAGGAGATAACAGAAAAGCATAAAGGGATGGAAAAGCCTTAAAGAAAAATTAGAGTCATAAATCAGAACCGGAAGTTCTAATAGGCATTTAGAAGGAGAGAAGACAGAGAATGAGGTGGAAGCAATATTAAAAAAGAAGTCGCTGAGACTGTCCCAGAACTAAAGATAGATACAGTTCTCATGTCAAAAAGACTCGCCAAGAGCTGAGGATAAATAATGAGAAAAACCCCGCTGAGTCACATCTTAAAGGAATTTCAAAATATCAAGGGAAAAAAGAAAAACTCAAAAGGTACCAAGAAAAAAAAACGAATTACGTGCATAGGAAACAGATTTACATTGGCATAAGACTTTTCTCATTAGCAACCTAGATGCAAAAAAGCAATAGCTAAAGAGAAAGAACCTATTTAACAGCTGCAATGGAATGAATATTTGTGTTTCCCCCGAAATTTATATGTGGAAACTCTAATCCCAATGTGATGGCATTTGGAGATGGGATCTTTGGGAGGGGATCAGTCAAGAGGGTGGAGTCCTCATGAGTGGAATGATTGCCTTTTTTTCACAATCAGAGATACCTTTTCTCCAGCTTTACTGCAGTAAAATTGACATAACATTGTGTAAGTTTAAGGCATGCGATGTGATTTTTTAATTTTCGTATGTATGGCGAAATGATTACCACAGTATGGTTAGTTAACTTCTCTATCACCTCACACAGCTACCATTGTGTGTGTGTGTGTGTGTGTGTGTGTGTGTGTGTGTGTGTGTGTGTGTGTGTTGAGGACTCTTCCGTTCTAGTCTCTGTTGCAGTGGCCTGTGTGTCTGGTTTTATGCCCGTACCATACTGCTTTGATTACTATACTTTGTAATTCTTTGTGGTTTTTCATCAGGGAGTGTAATGCCTTTAGTTTTGGTCTTTCTCAAATTGCTTTGATGGGATTAGTGCCCTTATAAAGAGAGTTCGCAGAGCTAGCTGTCTTCCATCATGTGAGGACACTGACCATGCTGACACGCTGATCTGGGACTTTCAACATCTAGAACTGCGAGAAATAAATTTCCGTGGTTTGTGTCATCCAGTCTATGGTAATTTGTTCCAGCAGCCAGAACTGACTGAGGCAGCACCCAGATTATTATTTTTCACATGTGAGTCCAAGGAAATGCATTTTTAAGCGTTCAAGGATTCACGAAAACCTTCTAGCCACAGACCTTAGACGGAAGTAGTGCCGGACGATACGCCTGAGGAGGAGAGAGATCACGTGAGCGGAAGCAATGACTCCTAAGGAGCAAGAATGATCGAAGAAATAGATTTTTAAGTAACCTAAACATGTGCAGTTTTCTTAAAAATAAACGTTAAAAAATTATTAATCCTAGATGATATCACTGTGATGACGATGAAGAGCAGAGCGAAAGGAATAAGGTTCTTGAGTCACTGGCCGGTTTCGTCCGAACTCTGTTCATCGACTGTGTGTGAACAGTCCGTGATTATATAAGTACAGAAATGAAGTGTAAGCATTTGCCATTTTTGATGGCACTTTAACGATGTCTGTTGCATCTAAAAAGTTTTTTTTAAATGGAGCCTATAAAAAAAAAAAATCAAGTTTTAGAAGAGATGTGAAGTGTTCACATTTAAAATGGCAGAAAACTCCACTCAAAGTGGCTTAAACTGGAATTTATCGGTTCAAATGACTGTAAACAATCTGTGGTTTATGATCTGTAGCCCGCCAGCCCCTTCAACACCATTGCAGGCCACTTTCTGACTTCGTCCCTCTTCTCTGGGCACTGGGGCCTTCTTTCCGTCACGATGGAATTATTCAGGTTCCAGTCTGCCTCAGGAATTCCTAGCTGGAATCCCCTCTTTCCAACTCTGCTCACCTATCCAAACTCGATTCATCTTTTCTAAGTGTCTCCTCCTTAAGGAAGACTTTTCATCCTCCCCTAAATAGCCCTGTAGCTACTCTTGTAATAACACACTTTCAGAGCACCCTGCACTTTTGGCTAGCATTTTCAAAATTGCAATTAATTTTATGTTTATCTGTGTAATGACTTGTTTAGTATCAGTCTCCTCACCCCGAGACTCTAAATCCCTTAGGGCTAGGACTGTGTTTCTCTTCTCCCCATCACTTCCCCCTCACCAAACACCTGCTGAATAATTTGATTGGTTCATTTTTGTTCATCTCTGGGTTTCCACACAATGTTGATGCTGAAGTTCAGAATAAAAGGGGTCTCGAGAATCGTACAATTGTTATGGCCATCATTCTCTCTAAGGTTACCCAGCCTTCCTTCTCAGACTCCTTCAAGCCAGAGGCAGGAATCACTGACTTGCCCGTCATCTTGTTCCTGACCATTCGCACCCATGTATCCCTCTTTCTGAGGACTCAGTGGCTTCCTTTGAGGGAGAAAGATCGGAAGGGGGCAAGGAGGCCACGACGCATTACGAGAACATGGTTGACCCATGATATTTGATTACAATGTCATGGTGGGCTGCGGCTAGCAGGCTCGATTTGGTGGAGCGCATGCTAAGGTGGTCTTGGATTTAGAGCCTTGTTGGTTAGTTGTTCCGTAGCCATAGGATGCCACCTTAACTCTGCCAATGGCTACTTTACAAATCTGTACTCTTTGACCCTAGGAATTACATGAATGAGGTGCTGGTTAAATTTTTCCCCACCCCCTGGCCTGGAAAAAAGGAAATGTAAGACCTGCCATTGGCAGATACCTAATAGGTCAAATGACACAGTACACAGGACAGTGTTTTGAGGAGTAAGCAACAATGCAGATATAAGCTTTACTACCGCCTTCTTTAGCGATGATGGATTGCATGTTGTGTCACGTATTTATTTAAATGAATTACCCACAACATGGAGAATGAGGATTTTCAATGCACCTCTACAAACTATCCCTTAGATTACAAGAATGCTGTTCGCCTGGCAGACTTTGACAAAAGCGTCAAGCGAGCTGGAGAGCCACAGGAAATCAAGAGTGATCTAGAGGTAATTTCTACAGTTGGTTTACTTTTCTATCTTTCTGCTTCCTTTTTTCATTTATTACCTTATTTCCTATGGCCAATTAGAGGACGTTACTATTATTACCAGAAAGGAAAGAACTTTCAAGGTATTTCCCCAGAGCTCAGAGCCCTCACTCCCTTGCAAACAACGGCTTGTCCCTGGATTGGTGCGGAGTTTGTTGTTTCTGTGGTTTCTTTTAGAGCCTCTTTGGAGCTCTCTCTCCATTAGCTAGTAAGTAAATAAATTGAGCATTCCACACCTTTTCTCAAATTACCTCCAGAGGTATCTCCAAAACAGCTCCAAAATTTCTGCAGGAGGAATTTGCTGTCTCAGGACAAAGTAAATAAGATTTCTCTTTTTGCCCCATTCAAATTCCAAAAAGGGCCGGAGATGAAAGCCCTCTGAAATACCTGGGCAGGATAAGGTTGATCCACAGCTAGAAAGAGACTACACTTGGCCCGAAAGGTGAAGATCCTGAAGTAACTGATTCTTCTAAGAAAAGACAGAGCCTGGCCTCTGCCGCCCAAGGGCAGATTCCTCCTGGATTGTTCTCCAGAGCCTTGAACCTTCAAGAGCACTCCATCCCCTGGTCCGGCCTTCATGGCTCAGTGACTCTGGATTTTAGCTCCTTCCCTGACTGTCGTCTTGCCCAGTGCAGGTGTTCCTATGCTGGCCTCCTAGGCCTTTCTTCCCTGCCAGGGACTAATTACTGGGGCTGTCACTGTGTCCCACTAGACCTGGACCGGCTCCTTTACCTGCTGCCTAACATAGCTCTGGCGCAAAGTCCCAGTTCTTGGCCAGGCCCCTGGCAGCCCCCTTATTTAAAATATTCTTCTTTTCTCCTGTTTATCTAATTTCCGTCCATGCTTTGAGGTCCAGCTCAAATCTTCCTGCCTCAAAGCAGTCTTCCCTGACAACTCTGGGCCAGGATTACCTTTAGAAACCTAAATCGTGGTGACCACATACTGCCTTGAAGATTTCTCTATGCACAGACCTGTGTCTTCTCTCCCTAACCAGCTGTGGACTCCTCAAGATTCCTGCCATTTTTCCATTTGCCCCTAGCCTTTATCACACGTTCCAGTGTAACCCAAATAGAGTGATAATTCATAAGCACCTTTGGCTTGATTAGTGGCTTTTGTGCAGGCCCTTGGACTGCTGGTCTTATATGTGGTAAGGAGGGGAGAGATCTCTTTTGAGACACTGAAGACTCAAAGTTATGAAGAAGTGATTCAATTTTCTTCAAATAAAGAAATTCGGGACCTCATTCATCGCCTCTTCCACCCTGGGGAAAATGTGAAGGACCATCTGAGTGACCTGTTGGATCATCCTTTTTTTTGGAGTTGGGAGACGTAAGTAAAACGAGCGTACGTCACAGGCTTCCAGAACGGAGAGAGTGAGTGTATTAGTCAGGGTTCTCTAGAGAAACAGCATTTACATATATGTCCATAGAAAACACTGGAGAGTGCAATCTGATGTCCTGAGTCCACTGATCAAATGCCAGTGTCACCTGGAAACACCCTCACAGGCACCGAGAATAATGTTTAAGCTGGGTACCCTGTGGTCAGTCAAGATGACATGTAAAATTACCCATCGCAGTGAGGTGGTAAGGGCAGGAGTCAGACTGGAAATCAGTAGACCCAGCTTTCTCCTCAGCTCGGCGTTTCCTGGCTGTGTGTTCTTGGAGTGGTAACTTAACCTCTCTGGGTTCTAGTTCTGTCTTCTGAAGAACTAGAAGGGAGAGGAGAGAGAGAAAGAGGGAGAGAGAGAGAGATGCCTATTTCTCCCGTCATGCAGAACTTTTAAAGATGTGGTTTTACTACTTTATTAAAACCTGGGATCTAACAGTTTTCTCTTTCTGGGGTGGGAGAGATGGACCATGACAATTCTTCCATCCTCAGCCGCTTTAGGATCCTTCGGAATGTGGGAAATGAATCCGACATCAAAATGCGGAAACAAGCAAGCAGGATCCTCCAAATACTGCAACCTAGAACAACAGAACAGTTCAGTTTTGACCGGTGGACTACTCAGGTATGAACAATTCCTATAGTCTGAGAGTTATTACAGGAATAAGAAGCTGTTTTTTTGATAGTTTTTCTAATTTTTAAAATACTATTGGCTGGGCCCAACCAAGAAGTGAGAAAGGGGATTTCTCCTCTCTTCCTCCTCAGCCTAGCCCGCCCCATCCCCCACCGCCCTTTGGGCTCTCTGCTCCCCCTTTCAGAGGCCAAGCCTGCCTGATAGACTCTCATCACGGCTCATCTTTAGGATGGCCTTGTCCCAGCCGTGCCAGCGTCCCC